GCAATCATGTAAATGTTATCCTCTACAAGGGGAAAAACATTTGGGGTCGAATATATCAGGATTTGGAAATGTCTGTCTCTGCAGAAATGAGTTTATGCAAGCGTCCTGCATAGACTATGTGTCTGGTTCTGGTTTCAGCTCTGCTGCAAGAGCCCCTCACCTGTTTGGACCTCGGAGTTCTTACCTGGAATGCAGAATAACTAGATGATTGTTATGTTAATATACGTCAGCGGCCCTTCCAGATACAAAATGCTATGTGTCTACATTCTTTGTCTTTGTCCTAAAATTTCCAGTTTGGGGCTATCTTTCTTGGATCATTTCCTTCAGCTGTCAAAGTGTCTCCCATCTTCTCTCTCTGTCCAGCCATCATCCCACTTCTCATAGCAGCACTCCCAGAGAGGGTCGTCTACGTTGGCTGTCTCTGCTTCCTCACTTTGCATTTGACTTAACGCCTCTCCAGCTGGGCTCCTGCCCCACACTTCACTGAAACCACCCTTGTCAGCGTGAACCATGATCTCCATCTTGCCAAATCTTGTGGTCAATTCTCTCTCTTTGTTTCACTCATTTGATCTAGTTAACTGTTTCCTCCCACTTGAGAACAATGATGTCTCTAATCTTTCACATATCACATTTGCCTGGTTTTTCCTCCTACTTGCTGGATAGGAACCCCTGCGGGCTTTTCTTCCTCTCAGTCTCTAAACCGATGTGTCTAATATCAATACAACATGAGCCACATATGTGATTTTTAATCTCCTAGTATTTAATTTCTGCCTTAAAAGAGTAAAAAGAAATAGGTGAAATCAATTTAATAATACATTTTAATTAATTCAAAATATCCAAAATATTATTTCAATAAGTAATCAATATAAATAAGTAATGAGATAATTTACATTCATATGTATAATTAGGGGTGTATATATATGAATGTAAAGTACCTCAGTATATAATTATATATAATTAGGAGTGTGTATGTATGTGTTTATATATAATTAGGCTTCACAATCTGATGGGTATTTTAGACATACAGGGCATTTCGGTTTGGAATAGTATATTTCAAATGCTGAAAAGCCACATGTGGCTATGGCTACTAGGGGCTACCATATTGGATGGTGCAGCTCTAAATTCAGGAGTGGCCCTGGGCTCAATCCTGAAGCCCTTTCTGCTCTCTGTGTACGGTCTTTCTGGGTGACCTAGTGAGCGTATGTTACCAGTCTCTCAATAAGTATTTATTGGCTGCTTCATATGTGCCAGGCTACTGTGTTCTAAGTAGTAGAGGACACAACAGTGAACAAAACAGTCATAAATCCCCACCCTAATAGAGCCTATTTTCTGGTGAGAGAGAGCAGACCATAGACAATAGAACTGAGTTAACTGTATTGCACAATAGAGGGCGCAAAGTGCTGTGGCAGGGACAGAGGAGGAGCGGCCGGAAAGCGGGAAGTGACGTTAGAGAGGCAAAGAACAGGTCGGATCATGTAGGGCTTTTGCGGTTCTATTGAAAAAACTTTGGCTTTTATTGTATTAAGATGAGGAACCATTAGGAGGCTTGAAGCAAGAAATACGTGGTGTAACTCAAGCTGTGAAGATGATTTTTGGCTGCTGGTTTGAGAATATACAGTAGAAAGTCAGGGTAGAAACATTGCAACCAGATAGGAGAAACATTCCCTGTTGTAATAATCTAAGCTGGAGAGGCAGTGGCTTTGACTGGTCACCAAGGGAAGTATTGAGAAGGTGCCAGGTTCTGAAAGAAGAGGTTCAGGCCAGATAGATAAATATGTGAATCATCACAGGTATCTGCTTTGTCTAACAGGGTACATATTGCTATTGGCCACATATTGTTATTTAAATTTAAATTAATTAAAATAAAATAAAACAAAAATTCAGCACTTCAGTCAGACTAGCTGTGTGCACATCTGGTGAGTGCTACCGCATGGCCAGTGCAGGTATGGGACATTTCCATCCTCACTGAAAGCTCTACTGGGCAACACCCATACATATGACATTTAGAGTTTTGTCCTCCTGTCTCTCAAATCAACTGCCTGCTTAAATGTCTCCACTGAATAATTCGATGATTGTTATGTTAATATATGTCAAATAATCATCAGATACATAACAAGGTCAGGATTCTTGATTCCGGTCTTCATCTCTCATTCTACTTTGACTTCATTTTTGCCATCCTGGTAAATGGAATCACCAGCTATACTGTTGTGCCAACCGCAAGGTCATTCCTCATTCCTATCTTTCTCTGCCCACCCAACCCTGTCACTTCTAATCCATTAGCAGGTTGATTTGCTTCTACCCACCAAGACATAGCCTGACTATGACCACCTCTTAGTGTCTCCACTTCTACCACTTCATCTTTCATCGGAAAATTGAGATAGTGTCTAAATTAGCGTTTTCAACACTTACTATACATTAGAATCACCTGGGAGTTTAGAACCAGAACAAAGCCAGGAAAAACAACGCCTAGGCATTCCTCCATGCCTACAGGTGGGGCTTGGCTTTCTAAAAACTTCCCAGGTGCAAGGAGGACTGAGGACCACTTTTGCCCTATCCTCCCCCACCACTCCTCAATTGCCTATTTGCCACATAGGAGCCAGAGTGACCTTTCTAAATAATAAATCACACCATGTCATTCCCTCCCCTGAAACCTTCTCATGATCTCTCATTGCTCTGAAAAGATTCTGGAGCTCCTGATCCTACAAGATCTGGCCCTGCCTGTTTCTCCAGCCCACTTTTCCCTGGCGGACGCCTATCATTGCCTCTTCCTCTGGGAGGGGCTCTGTCCATCTCATCTGAACGAGCCATTCCCTCCTCCCTCAGCACGAGCCTCAATCACTTGCCCTCTCAAGTCCCTGGTGTATTTTCTTTATGAAATCTATGGCTTTCTGCAATGATCATATTGAATACTTCTCTATCTGTTGTTTATCTCCCTGACTAGAACATAAAGCCCATGAGAGCAAGGAACTTTGCTGTCTTATTCATTTATCTCTAGCACCTGGAACAGAAACTGGCAACAGATATATATTTTTGAATGCCCCTATTCAGTGGCTTCACTTAATATATATTTTTAAAGGTTCTTGTTAGAGTCTTCAGGGAAAAGACAATGACGACAGTGCTGATAATAAATACATAGCAATAGCATGTGTAGAGTGCTTAGTATATGCCAGGCACTGTGTTTTATTTGATATACCCATTTTACAGATGAGAAATTGGAATTTAGAAAGGCAAAGTAACTTGACAGGGGCCACCAAGGTAGTAAGCGTGAGAAACCAGATCTGGAACGGGGATTATCTGAGGCCAAGGTCCTGAGTCTTAAAAAACAAGCAAAACCAAACCTAAGCTTGTAGCCGTTTAATCAATACTTATGAAATAAATAAGTGGCAGCTGATTCACTTTAGGGACTTGTCAAACACTGATGCTCAGTTCATGACTAGGAAAAACAATGTATTTCATTCTCTGTCTCCGTATAGACCTTGGGTCACTGCTGAATCCTTTTGGTCCCTGTAAAGGATTCGAGTGCTGGCCTGCATTCTTCTTTCCGCCAGTTATTTTGTGCATCCTGCAGTTCTAGCCTAAAGAATTCCATCTCTTAGCAGCTACCAGGGTTACTTGCAGCCTCAATGATCTTCCTTTGAGAGAGGGAAAAATCCCTTAACTTTCTAACACAGTCCAGCCATGCATGAGAAGCCATTGTCAAGCCGTGGGGTTGGGGGGTGGGGGTGGGGTGGGGGAAGGAAAATAAAAATACCGTTCTCCTCTGGAACATCTCCTAGGACTAGTGAAAAATGCTAATTCTGACAACAGCAAAATCATTTTAAAATCAAAACACCTTTGAATCATATTAGCAACGAGATTACAATGAGAAGTGGTGAAAGGAAATAATTAGATTCTTCGACTCCAGCAGCATCTCATCCCCTCCAGCTCTGTTCCGGTTTCTGATGCCGTGGATGTTCTCCCAGGAAGGATGTCCCTGGGACTCGCCCTCCGCATGCTTTGGTGCAGTTTGCATGAAAAGGTAGCGGACTGCATGGCTTTTCTTCATTCCTCCCCCCGAATGGGCTGATGGGAGGTTAGAAACTTCCCTCCCTGCTTTCCAAAGCCCCCAAGGGCCAGTGTCTTTATTTTTAATTACTCCCAGATGAATGTGCTTAAGGGTGCTGACAGTATTAGCCTCGACTAAACCGGCTGGATCTGGATGCTCTCCGAG